GGGCGGGAGAGGCCCCCGTACTGCGTCTGCGCCGACAAGCCGACCCGCAGCGCCTTCCGCCGCTTCGCAGGGGAGCAGCCAGACCGCTATGACTACACCCGGGCCCAGGTGAGTGCTCCCATCCCTGTAGCAGAGCCCAGCTCTGGGCCCCAAGACCCCTGGCCCCCTCATCCCTGGGCTTGGCCCATGCCAGGAGAGACTCTGTCTGTGTCCAGCTCTGTTTTGCCACCTCCTTTGCCTGGCCTGATGCAGAGCAGCTGCTGCGGCCAGGGCTCTGTGGCAGACCAGTAGGGGGCGCTCCAGCATTGAGCCCCCCGCCTCACTGCCCCGACCACCTTCCAGGCCCCGAGCGCCTCCCTGGGGTGCCTCGCATCTGGCCGACCCCCTTCCTGGAGCACACTCGCTAACCTGGGGGTAACGTAAGCTGCCACCACCCCAAGAAGGGACTGTCTTGGCCCTGTGTCCTCGGGGAAACACAGGCCTAATCGTCCTACGGGTACTCAACCCAGTACAGGCACTTGGGGCACTTCCCCAAATCAGGGGCCAAAAAGGAAAGTCTCCCTTAGTCTGCAGACCTAAGGGGCCTCTTAGGCATAATTTAGACCCACCCCTCAATAAGTCTCCTACACCGGTCACAAAGGAGAACTTTACTGATTTACAGGAGTAGGGTGAAAATAGGGTGCAAGATAGAATATCATAGAAATCCCATCAAGCAAACCAGTCTGGCTGAAGTAGCCTTTGGTCACGCATCTGAGTTACTGCCAGCTAGATATCTAACCAGATCTCGAGTAGCTCACTCACAAGCATCATCCTGAGGCTGCACTGGAGGCAGGCCATTCCTCGCTCATGAGTTATGGGGGAGAGAGCCAGTTTCAGATGGTAAAGCTCCTCTCTGAGTCCCCACATGGCTGCTGCCCCCGCCTCCTGGGCAGTCTTAACTTATATACCCCCTGTGACCTTGTTCACCTGGTCCAATGGAGGCCAGCATCTGTTGGCTGTCAGCCCACCAATTTGAAATACATCACTAGTTGCCAGGCAGACTCTAGCCCCCCAGGTAGAAACCCCCCACCCCGGTAGCTGATACCAGTCCCATAGGCAGAGGGAGCAGGTTCCCCCCAGGAATGTATCCAGCTCAGGTTACCTGAAGAGAGAGGGTAAAGGGGTGTCTCCTTTGCTGGGCCCATCCTAATCAAATTGTCACAGGGCAGAGATTTTGGGGAGAAACAAAGGTGGCTTCATGCCACAGGCTCTACCTCCCAGGGCCCCTGGGGCGACAGGCTGTGCCATGAGGCTCAGTGCCGAGCTGCAGGGAGGGGGCTCCAGGCCTCACCTGCCTGCCCGTAGGTCCCAGCGCCGCTGAGGCCAGAGGTGGAGGTGCAGCAGCTGGAGCGGCGGCGGGCGCAGCAGGTGCGGCGGCGGCAGCGGGAGCAGGTGCGGCGGGATGAGCAGCGACGGCAGGAGCAGGAGGAGGAGGAGAAGCGGCGCTTCGCCGCCCTCCCCGAGCGCGACAAGGTGCGGAGCCGTGGGATAGGGCAGGGCATGGCAGGGTGGAAGAGGGGCTGCACCCTGGTGCTGATGCCCTTCTGTTCTGCTGTGCTCCCCAGAGGGCCCTGGCAGCTGAGCGGCGGCTGGCGGCGCAGCTGCAGGAGTCCAGCATGGCACTCACCACCTGCAGGTAACGGCCCCAGCCGCGCTTGCACATGCCCAGGGGCGTGGGGTGAGAATCTCCTGGCTCCGGCTCCCACAGGGTTCTAGGGCTGTCATGTCCAGGCCAGGTCATCACATGCTCCATATTGTGTCCTGCTGGAGGCTGCTCCTCAGCCCCAGCTCGCTGGTCCTGGAGCCAGCGCTGCCCTTTGGCTCCCACAGCTCAGCCCTTCCCTGGCCCTCAGCACTCAGTCCCTCCTACCCCCGTGGCCGGACTGAACAGGCCAGGCCCTTTCAGCTCCTCTCCCGGGACCCCTGTGCACTCCTTCCCATCCTTGCCCCGTTCCCATGAGGTCCCCAGCTCTAGGCTCCCACTCTGGTGCCCTGGCCCACACTGTGCTCTCTGGCCCCCACAGGCGCTGCTGGCAGTGTGGCGAGTCTCTGCTGGGCCGTGTGCCCTTCCACTACCTCGACGGCGCCTTCTGCTCCACTGCCTGTCTGCAGGCTCACCGGAGGGCACGGGCCGGCCCACCCTAGTGCCAACCCCACCTGACGGAGATGGGTCTGGCTTGCTGGAGAGCTCCCAAGGGGCCTGGGAGCAGGCTGGGGGAGAGGGAAAGGCCCAGGACCCTTCATTTGGGGGAACCTCACACCCCAGCTGGACCCGGGGCCACCTGTGCCATGAGCCCAGGGCCAGCTCTGTGCTGTGATATCACTGTGGCCAATAAATGCACACGTGCATGGAAGCTATGCTGAGGGGAGGATGCCCCCCATTTATTGGGGTGTAGGCACATCCTGGGAGCTGCTGGTGGCATTGAGCTGGGGCCGGTCCAGGAAGAGGATGTCGGGCTGGGGTGGTGCGTGCTCCAGCTCCAGCACCGTCACATTGTTGGGGTGCAAGGGGCTGAGCAGTGAGCCTGGCACGTACAGCGTCTGCTGTGGTCCACGGCTCGCCCAGTACCGGCCCAGGTTGAAGCCGTTGATCCAGAGCTGACCCTGGGGGAGTGCAAGGTGTCAGAGCAGGGGGACACGCCTTGGACCCCACCATCCCTCCCCGAGGTGGTACCTTGCTCCAGCCTGGCAGCTTCACGAAGGTGTCCCAGGCAACACCGGGCGTGCGGAAGGCCCCAGTGTAGATCGCTGGCCCCATGCTGATGCTGCTCCCTGCAGCCCGGGGTATGGTGTGGGGCCAGCCTGTAGCCACGACTACATCCACGTCCAGCGGGTAGATGAGCCAGTCACTGAGCGGCACCGAGGCCAGGCTCAGGTTCCCCAGCAGGCCCTGGGTGGGGGCAGGGGGCAGCTCTGCTAGGGCTGGAGCAGGGTCCAGCCGACTCCACTGTGGGGGTAGGGGGCTCTCTGTTCCCACTGTGCCAGGGCTCTTGGGGTGCCTGTGGCTGTGCCCCCACATCTCCCAGCCTCAGGGCCCTGTCACAAGGGGCCTCTTCCAGAAGGGGGAAGGCTGACCCAGGCAGCAGTGGCGTGGCGAGCCCCGGTCTCAGGACAGGCAGTGCCCATCCCCAAGGCCTCCGGGCAGGTGCCAGCCAGGTCCTGCCCTATGCTGCCTGCCTCCCTGGCTCAGGGTGACCTCTGCTCTCACCTTGAAGTCACTGATGTTGGTGCCGAAGTTGATCCTACCCATGTTCTCCACCAGCACATCCAGCATGGCACCGGCCTGGCCCGTCACATACAGCTGCCACGGCCCGGCCCGCTCCAGCCGGCCTTGGTACTGCTGCAGTGGGCTGAGGTCAGGAGCAGACCCGCACCCAGCCGCGGGCCCCCTGCAGCAGGGAGAGCGTGGGGGGTGGGGCAGCACTGACCTGCCCCCCAGGCCCTTCCCTTGGCGCACAGCCCCAGCCTTGCCCCGTCCAGCCCCAACCCCCCATGGCTGGAGCCCACAGCTGGTGCCAGGCAGGGAGCCCTGAGCCAGGCCTTACCCCATCCAGCAGCACATAGGCGAGGTCGCAGATGCTGTGCGGGGGGGCGCTCAGGGGCGCGGGGTCCCACACGTCCCGGGGCAGCCAGGTGCGGTACAGCACAAAGCCGTGGGCCTGGGGGCCACAGTAAAGCCATGACAGCTGGCAGTTGTAGACACATCCGCACAGTGGGGCTCTGGGCCCCCTCCCCAGGGTCTGCCCAGCTGCTTACCTGCTTGATGGCCTCAAAGGTTAAGGGGAAGCGACTCGGGATGGGCCCAGCAGGGGACAGCAGGTCCAGCAGGTCCAGGAGCCCAGCGTACTGTGTGGGTGGGGAGGAGGGGTGAGAGGCTGGCTGCAGGCAGGCCCGAGGGGCACGGGGCGGGCAGGCACTCACCTTCCGCAGCGGTACGTAGCCATAGGCACGCTTGTGGGTGGCTGGTGGCATTGGGCCCTGCGGCACAGGCTGGAACTGAGCATCAGGCCCTATTAGGCGCTGGGCCAGGGCTCAGGACCCCCCAGACTGAGGCCAAGGGTGGTGGGGGCTTCTCCCCCCCCAGGCCTGGACGCTGCAGCCCTCATCTGCAGACTCCAAGCTGCAAGGTCCTGGGAGGAGAGGAAAGGGGCTGGGACCAGTCGGCGGCTCAGCACCTGGGCAATGACTTCCCGAATGGCGAAGAGCTTCTCTGTGGGGTCACCAGCCTCTGAGAGTGGTGCGTCGTAGTCATAGCTGGTGGTGACCGGCTTATATTGGCCCTTGTAGTCAGCACCTGGCCCGAGGGACAGTGCGGGGTGAGGGGGGTCGGGCTGCCTGGCAAGGTCACGGGCACAGGGGGCTCAGCCCCACGATGGGGACAAACTCACCACTCCAGTAGCCGAAGTTGGTGCCCCCCTGGAACATATACCTGTGGGAGACAGGGTGGGGGTCAGAGCCCAGCACAGCCCCCCGACCACCCTGCCTTCACCCCCTGGGCCCCGGCAAAGGGGGACTGCAGGCGGCTGGAGAGGCCAGTGAGGAGGGGGCAGCATCCAGAGCCCCCAGCACTGGGGTAGAGGGGCATGACTCCAGGGGTGCTGGATGGGCCAGACACCAGGGCCTGGCCCGTCAGCCATGGTTCAGCCCAGGGATGAGGGAAGTCCATGGGGCAGCCCTGGGCCCAGCCCCAGCCTGACCCGACCTCCCACGTGGTACTCACATGTTGACACTGGCCCCCAGCTGCAGGATGTCGCGAAGCCCCTGGGCCACGGTGGCGGGGCTGCTGCTGGCGTGCGGCTCACCCCAATAGTCCAGCCAGCCTGTGTAGTACTCGGAGTTCACCTGTGGGTGAGACCAGGCATCACCTGGGCCCCCCTCCCCTGGCCCCATTCCCATGGGTCCAGGGGCTCCCAGCATGGGGGGCATGGGTATGACAAGGGCACTAATCCCAGGAAGACCTCAGAGGAGGAGGGAGAACCCACAGGTTCCCCTGTAACTTCAGCCAGGTTGTGACCTGTGATCCCTGACCCCAGGCACCTGCCCCAAGCCAGGACACGAGGCTGCATCCTTAGCCATGCCCCCCAGCCCAGCAGAGCCTGCCCAACGCCCCTTGCCCCAACCCAGTCTCACCAGGGGGCCCTTGGGCTCATAGAGCCGCTGGGGTGCGAAGGCCTCAGTGATGTTGGGGCCTGAAGGGAGCAGAAGGGCAGGTTAGATGGGGAGACCCCAGCCCTGCTCCTCCATGGGTGGCCCCTGAGCCCCCACCTGGCCCGAAGTCCACGGTGGCGTAGAGACCCTGCAGGGTGCCGCAGCGCAGCTCGGCCACGCTGTTGCCGTCAGTGGTGAAGAGCAGCACGTCGGGGCCCAGCAGCGCACGGAAGACGTGCAGCAGGTGCCGCAGGTAGTCGTAGTCGCAGACCCCGGAGCTGCCGTACTCGTTCTCCACCTGCCCGTGGCAGCATGGTGAGACCTGGAGACCAGCACCCCCTCCCCTAGCCCCCAACAGCTCTGCTGGTGCCCCTCACTCCTGACCCGCAGCCCCCATGTCTCTCCCATCCCAGCCCGTCCCCTCCCTTGGGGGTCATGTCTCCCCCTCCACGCCTCCCCCTGCCCTCCAGAATCCTGGCCCCGCTGAATGCCCTGGGACCCCCATGCCATGTAGTGCAGCTCAGAGGTGCTACAGCCAGGGGCAGGGCATGGAGAAAAGAGGCTGGGCAGGTGGGGAGCTGGGGCATCCATGGGCGCCGGCCCCTCACCTGGACACTGATGATGTTCCCCCCATTGTGGTACAGCCGGGGCCGCACCTTGGGCAGCAGGATGCTGAGCCAGGAGTCCACGGCGTGCAAGTAGTCTGGGTCGGAGTAGCTGCTCAGCCCAGCCCTGCAGCCTACCCCCCGCACATCCCCGCCCAGGGACAGGGCCACGGCCCCCACGTGCCTTACCAGGGTCAGACGAGCGCAGCACAATGTCCGGCTTCCACAGCAGCCAGGCAGGGAGCCCGCCCTGGGGACACACGACCGTCAGGGCCGAGGCAGGGGCTGAGCCAGGGGGCTGGTGTCTGGAGGGGGCTGATCCTGCCTCGGACCCCGCAGCTCCCAGTGCGCTGACACGCCAGGATGCAGCCCCCAGAAACGCCCCCACCCCGGTGCCCTTGGCAGCCCCCAGGGTGGGGCGGTGGAGGGCCCGCACCATCTCCCACTCGGCGCAGATGTAGGGCCCTGGGCGAAGGATCACCAGCAGCTCCAGCTCCGCTGTCAGGTCCAGGAAGGCCTCTAGGTCCCGGTCGCCGGAGAAGTCGTGGACGCCGGGCAGCGGCTCGTGGTAGTTCCAGGGCACGTAGCTGGGGGAAGCGGGGCGCAGGCGGGGGTCAGTGCCCGGCGTGGCCCAGGGCCCAGCCCCCACAGACCCTGGGGCACTTACACCTGCACGGCGCTGAGACCGGTCATGTACATCTTGAGGAGCCGGTCGCGCCAGGCGAGCCGCGGCACGCGGGCATAGTGCAGGCTGCCTGCCACATAGCGGAAGGGCGCCCCGTCCCTGCGGAAGCAGTCGCCAGCGTAGTCGACCTCGAAGGAGCGGGGGGCCTGCAGGCAGAGCAGGCACTGGGCCAGGGGGCCGGGACCAGGGGGCCCAGCCCAGCCCCGCCGAGCCCCGTGTCCTATTTCCCAGCCCCCCCACAGCACTCACCCCCAGCGCCGGGGGCACGTCGAGGAGCAGCGGCAGGAGCGGGAGCAGGAGCAGGGCCATGGTGTGGGCGGGCGGGCAGGCAGGCCTGTCACATGGCGGCTCCTCCTCTGCGGCTGCCAGCTGCTCCCAGCTGCCCCCCGGGCTGCGGGGTGGGACGCGGCTCAGCCAGGACCCGCCCGCC